TGTGGCATCGTGTTATTAGAGCAGAGTCATTAACAACCATGGTTCTGCTGCTGTGTTTGCATGCATGAAATGATTTCATAAATTTCATGTCTCCTTGGTGGCTAGATGGAGAAAACAGTTCGATTGTCGCTGAGCCTTATCAAAGTCACATGTAGGGCCACTAAATTCTGTCTGTGTGCAGTTTTACCACATTTTACAATTCTTTGCTGTTTCGGACCACTAATTTTTTATTTATTTTATATAAGCGATATTGAAGAAGTTAAATTCAAACACATAATCTCGGGTGCAGGAGTATATTCTTAACTGCTTGAGCGCATTTTTATTTTATTTTATTAAAGGCCAAAGGCCAATGACTTTATTCATCAATAGAATGTAAAGAACGCAAATCATTCGGAAGGTAAGAGTGAAGCGAGCTAGGCCCCTCTTCCATCTAGTAACATATCTCATTACAAGATAAAGCAAATTTGGCTCATTGGTATGCCACAAAATTACATGTACGAGGTTGGTGTTGCACAAATACGAATACGAAATGACAGAGTAACTCTTTCAATTCCTCTATCAACTCTCCTTCCATGCTCATGTCAAATTCAGTTCGATTTATGGCGTTAATCACCTCCAAGCAATCACTTTCAATAATCATCCTAGTGAATCATGCATCAATTGCCATTTGACAACCTTCAAAAGCCTTAGGGGAAAGACACCCACTTAACGGTTTAGCCATGGCAACCATTAATTCCCCATTGGCATTTTCTGCTCCTAGCCCCATCTTTCTATCAGCCACACAACATGCCCAAACTTAAGTAGGCTAGCTACTACTCGGCCAAGAAAAGAACCCAGGCCCAACTAGTAGATGATCAAAACAGAGGAAAAACAAAGCAAGGTCCAAACAGAGGAAAAACAGAGCGAGGCCCAAACAGTGGAAAACAGAGCAGCAAGCCCATAGGCCCCAGACAGAGAACAGCCAAGTTGTCCTAAATCGAAACGAGAATGAATGAGAGTACGAAAGAGTCGGAATAAGAAGGAATAAGAATGAATCATTCTCATTGAACTCCTAATTGACCACTTCTCCCATAATACCAATATCACCTTCCCTAAGGAGTCTCATTCTTGATCTTAAGTAGATCCCTTGTGGTGGGTTTTCATTCCCAAAGTGTTACTGAACGCTAGGAAGAACTCACAGTATTTAATCCAGTTCATCTCAACATGGAAAAAAAATCTCCAATTTCACGTTAATAAACATGTCAGAATTCAAGTTAACAATAGGCTCAATGCAGAAGTAGATTAATGTTTGATTAAGCCCAACCTAGCCTGCTAAGCCACTTGAAACAAACATTGTTTAATTGCAGGTGACAGAGAGTGGCAATCTTCTTTTTTCTTTCTTTTTATGTTAAGGACTTTTCTTATTGAGAGGGACGATAATATACTAAACTCACACACACACTACACAAATGTTAGGACTCGAATCCATAATATTAGGAGGACAATTACTTCAAACCACTACACTATTGAGTCCTGTGTAGTGGCAATCTTCTTCTTTGTTTGTTGCTTTTTTTTGGGGGAGGGGGGTTTTCAAGAGTTATAGCATGACTTATGAACAAACTTATTTACGAATCCCAAAAGGCTATAAACCTGATATTTCAACAAGAAAAAGGAGATACAGAAAACACAAATTCAAATTACAGTGATCTTCAAAAACCCTTAATATACAAGATTTAATTAGGCCATTAACTAGAAATAAAAAGATAAAACTTAATGGGGAACCCCTTAATTATGCAGAGCTTCATGCCATTATATCATATGGGATTTAATCTCTCCCCTCAATAACTGCCTCATTTCCCAACTTCCATTGGAGTATCAAGTGGTGTCTTTTCATGTTGACTGCTGCTAACTGAAAACAGGCAAACTTCCATTACAAACTATAAATCTAAAAAGGCTCTAACCATGAAAACTAATTTGACACTTAGAACAAAAATAAACAAAAATAATAATTATGAGATACAAAAAAGTAAGCTCACGTTTTAGAGTGGAAAGCTCTGAGCTCTTCAGCACGCGCAGCCTTTTTGCAGTGGATACAAACATGCTGCAATTATAAATTAAATAGAATAAAATGAGAACCATAGATCACAAAATAAATATCCAGCAACAGCTATAATTTTACAAGGTACACAATAATTTTATGAATGCTTACTTCCATGGGACATCACCAACAAGCATCCTGTCTCCTTCATGATCCTCATAGAGCAGAGTATATTCCCCATTGCCATGAGTTATTGATTTGGTCTCTCCCTTCTTGTCTTCTTTTTCCACATCAGAACAAACCCTTTGAGCTAAAAATTGAAAGAAAAAAAAATTTAATAAATTGCTTATGTAAACCAAAATAAAATGCAAAATAATTTTCCATGATGCCTGAGTTTGTTGAAATGAATTTAACCTGCAAGAAGACCTTGGAAGAGTTCATCTATGGCAAGGGAGAGTTTCTCATAACTGTCATAGGCTTTGAGGTTGATTTTTCTTCCAATGGGAACCCCTTCCATGTTGATCTTTACAAACATATGAGGCTTGGAATTAGTATCAGATTTTCCACTGCTCCCCTCCTGCAGAATTTCATTTGGTGACTCCGAATTCAGGGGCTTCGAAAAGCTTGATTTGCAGCTTGCAAGATTTTTCCTGGATGAACGGACTGGAGGCCACCCTACAACTGCAGCTTGTGCAATTCTGGTTTTACTGGAATTAAGCAAAGCAAAAGAAATATATTTATATGAACATGGCTTTTACTGAAACATTTCTATTAAAACACTCAATTAACTCAACAGAAAGATTTTAATCTAAATTAAGTAGGTGGTTGTATGTACTTAATCTAAATTATGGTTAATTGAAGCAAATAAAGCAAGAAAAGCTGAGAGTACCTTTTCTGATCAGAGCCATGAGCTGCAGCAGGATTTGTAAACTCTGAAGCAATAGCAGGATCTGAACATGCCTTCTTATCTGAGTTGTGGAACTCTGCCACTCCAGGGTTGCAGGGTTTGGAAATCATTGGGCACTGAAAATGGGAAGGCTTAGGGTTTTGCTGGCACTGACTGCTGGGAGCAGAGTTTGTCAACCACTTGCTCTCTCTCTCTTCTTTTTTCTCTTTAAAAATTTCATGGCAGACTCTTTTGGGTTCATGAGAAATATTGTTGTTGATGATGATGCAACCAAGAGAGAGAAGAGACTGGTCTTCTCCTGGAGGACCAAGCCTCAGCTCCAGCTTCTTGTCTTCAGATGCAACATAGCTTCTCTTATGATACAACTGACCCATTTCCAAAGCATGCAACAAAAGCCTCAAGAGAAACTTGGAAAACAGCATGTAAGAATGAACCCCAAGGAAAAATCAGTTGCAGACCAGAGTACTTGTGTGTGGAGATATATAGCAAATTATTTTCTTCCAATCATCTCCTCTTTTGGAGACCCAATATCGAGTATAGAGCACATGCAATAAAAGGAAAATGGTTGGGTGGGAAGATTCCTTGTCTCAAATTCTACACTCAAAATAGAAAAATATAGAGATGTTCAAAAACAAGTAACAACCGTGTAGGTGGAATATGTGGCCGGTCACATAGACATGACACTGTGACACATGACCAAGACAGCATTTCAGCTCAAAATACTCAATGTGCCTATACGTGCGGTGTGTGTTTGTGAGAGAGAGAGAGAGAGAGAGAGTGTGCGCGAATTATTATTTTCCTTGAAAAAGGGAGAAGAAAGAAAAAAAACACATGCTTATAATTTCATCTGGGAGCCACCCAACTTGGGCAAGGCCTTGGTACTTTTTTGTTGCTATGTTTTTCTGATAATGTATGCCGCGTGTCATAAATTAGTGTTTCACGGATGAGTTAAAAACTATCTGTTAACACTTGATTAGATGAAAATAATACATGATTTAAAATTGAAATTTGATCTGATTTTAAGTTGTCCCTATCAAATTTAAAGACCTCTCAGTTTAACACTGCATTATAAGAAAGGGATAGTGTGGACTTGGGATTAGATCGAAGCAACAGTCAAATAAGTGCAGCCATAGCATTATCTTGTAATTCATGGAGAAGACTTCCTAGTCACTAAAAAGTAGTGGTCCTTTTCACTCCCACTAGCTGAAGCCTAAAGCCAAGTCAAGCAAACATTTGCTTGTAAATATCCTTGCATGCACTGAGATCTAGCAACCTGGTTAAGGTGGTTTAAGAGTGCCATAATTGTGTTTTGCAATAGCTTTTAGGCATGCTCTGCATTTGATGGGTTGGTGGGGGAAGCCTAGCTTTAAGGAAACTTCATTGTTTTGAAGTTTGGTTTTGATTTCTTTCTTTTCCTTTCTTCTTGCATATAAGCGATAGTTTAAGTTACGGGAAATTGAGTTTCTCACACACACATTACTAAAGTGTCAAAAGAGTTCGAAACTAAAACCACTGATTTGTAAAACAATGCGCTTTTCTTTTTTGAAAAGATGCAACTGATAATGAAATGTTCAATATCATGTTCAATGAATATTGAATTGAACATAGGGCAAGTCATGATGATCATCATTGGCATAGGCCACACTTTTACAATTGCCATCTCTAGTGGCTAGTGGTGGGCCCCCACATCCCACTAATATAAGAGATTGATCATCACTGCCCTCAATCAGTCAATCAAATCCTGATGAATCCCAACTTCACTTTATACCCTTTTTGCCTTCCTACTTCTCTTGTTTCCCTTCATTATTCTTCACTTCTTTGATTGTTGTTATCATTGCAAGTTTTTCTGCGCTCTAAACAAACCAACCAAATACAAAACCAAAACACGCTCTTAGGTTACTGATTGCCTTACAGATTTTGGGGCATCATTTCATCCTATTCTTGCATCTTTTTTATTCATGATATGCACCAAATTCTCTGTCATGGTGATTGTGATAAATAAAAGGCCTGGAATATTTTGCTTTATTATAATGACTGAAGTTGAAAAAAGAAACAAAAAAACAAAAAACAGAAAGAGGGCCAACATAATAGATGCATTATTAATATAATCCAGAAGAGTGACATCCGCATTATTGGTACACTAAGATTCAGATTTCTTGGAACATAACTTGATATTTTAATGGTGCCCTCTATAACCCTAGGAGCCCACAAAATGGCAAAATGGTGCTGCTGCTGATAGTTCTTTCTCTATGCTATCAACTTGGCACCTCAAACATGTCGTACCAGTCCTGCTTGTTTCCTCAACTATACAGATTGCAGATATACATGGCGCATAAGAAACCGACATAATTTTTTACGCGCTAAGAAAAAAAAATTTAAGAACAAATGCAACTGCTAGTTAGTTACCTGAAAGTAAGATTCAAGCTGGATCCTCAAGGTGTGGTGCTCTTGTTTCACTCTTTGGAAAGCCCAGAAGCAGCTGCAAAATCAAACATAAATTCATAATGAGGTCACAGCAAGGAGAGAAAGAACTACAACATTGATTGGTACATGTTTATACACGAAATATATATCTTACCCTTCAGCATTTCCTGCCAAACAAAATTCCTTAAATTGGGAGCATTCATTCTTCACCTTTATAGCTCCAATGCTGTTAGAAATCTAGCTTTAATGAGCACATTGGAGGAGCAATATATTTACTCAAGTTGATGTTAAAATGAAAGCAAGTATTATTGGGTTTTTGTTTTTTTTTTCCTTTGGGTACCTTGAGCTACTACCCTTGAACTGGTGCATGTAATCATCCAGCTTGCCAAAATCAATAGGTCTACTTTGCCTGCATAAATCAATATACAAATGAAGTTCATTTTAGTACTCGTCATACTTATTATCTATAATAGAAATACAGCGCATGACGACAAACTGGGAGTGGGAGTATGAATGGCGACTGCCAACACATATATAACAAAGACTATTGTTTTACTTACATGGTTTGTTCAATCTTTTGGAACAGTCTAGCTGAGTCTTTGTAGAACAATGTCACAATTTCCTCCACAAAATTTGGGTTAGCATCGTCTTCCAGATCCTCCAGCTGTACGAATTGCTGTGGATCCAGGAACTGCTGCAACATTGAACCAAACACATTGAGAAGATGAAGTAGTTGCACAATTTCAGAACTACTAAAATCGAAGAGCCCTGCTATCTATCCATTTTGTCAAAATAAGTAATACCAAATACATCAGCTTAATTCTTACGCCAATTTTATTCATTTCTAATATTTTTCAAAAACATAACGTTGAAATGGACTAAATGGGTAACGTGTAGCCAATGTTGTACATTCAAATTTGGGCCTCGGTGTTGTATTAAAAAAAAGTTGGGCCTTGGTTTTTACTGACACATTTCTAACCCTACCTGTATACTAAAACAGAGCAATACCTACCCGGATTGTTTTCTGCAACACCACCGCTGGTTTAATTCCATTTCTTAATCTTTAGAAAGATAGAAAATTCTACCGACGGGTCTAACTCAATAGAAAAGTGTCAAACTCCTATGACACTTCAGTAGTGTGTGTGTGAGAAACTTGTCACTTGTATTCCGAAAAGAAAAAGGATAGAAAATCCTATGAGTGGCAATGCAAATATCGAAGCCAGCCAACCACATTTTGTGAAAACATGAAAAGTATCAGTGCAGAGCATACGGCATGCAGTTTCAAGATGTTAATGGCCTAAGAATGGTTCTGAAACAGGAAAAAAAACAAACAGAGAAGCAAATTATAAAAACCTGCTCAAACAGAGAGCTTCTCTTGAGGGCAACCTGGCGTTGCAATTGGTTTCTGTCCATTCTCTTGGGAAAATCTTAACGTGAAAAAGAGGCAACGACAGTGAATTCAAAAACCCCAAAATGAAATCTCTCCTTTCAGAAGTAGGATAGAGCAGAGAACTCAACAATGGCTTAGATTTAGCAAACATGGCAAGCCAACGTATATATATATATATGTAGGATTTGGGGAGAGACTGAATAAAGGCACAAAAAAAATCGAGGAGGGTAGGGTTGGGGGGTTACGTGTCAGGCAAAATATCTTTGCTTGTTTTATCCAATTTGGTTTTGGTTTTTTTTTTTTTTTTGAGTTACATTTGGGAGAAAAGAAACCCTAGCGTTTCGATCATGGATGCCAAGCAGGGGTAAAGGGGTAGGGCCACAACCACTAGGTAACCCAGCTTGACCAATTTGGTTTTGGAAGATATGCATGATTTAATGCCTTCATTTCAATTAATATGTAATCTTTGATTAGGAGAAAAGAAACCTTCTCGCATAATTGTGGAAAGAAAGCCAACACTGCATTGGCAAGTTCGATAATCCTGCGCCTATTTAAGTAAAATCCTGAACACCCTAAATACGTTAAGATTGGAAATCACGCAAAGGGAACTTATGTCTCAGTTGTTTTTAAATAACTTCCATATAAATTAAAAATAAATAATTTCCAATCACACTCATTGTAACCAACAATATTGGAAGAAGGGGGAATTGAAGACCTCAGTTCAGGAGTAAATGCTCTTAATCACTTAAGTTCAGGAGTAAATGCTCTTAATCACTTAAGTTATAAGCTCCTTGCAGCAACTTCTCAACGTTATTGGATTGTGAATTAAAACTTTATCATTTAAATTACTAGAATTTTTATCATTTTCATTAGCTCTAATGGTTACGCGGTGTATATGAATGAAATGAAGTTATTAAATTGTTCAGTCCCTACTTCGTTAATGAAGATCTTGAGTTTGAAGCTCATGGACATGAACACAATTGTTCAATAAAAAAACATTAAAAAAAATAGAAACAAAACAATGATTCACAAACTAAATTATCTTTATATATATATATATATATATTCTTGGGGCAATGTGATGATAAATACAGCTATATACGTCCCATTGAGGAAGCGTGTCGCACAGACAATGGGCGGTAGAGAGCACACGCACACATCCAGCCTGAGCTGGCTTTGTTGTATGTTTGCAGGAGGCAAATGCAACTTTGGATTGGAACAAATCCTAGAATCTTTTTTTTCTCTCAACGATGTGGATTGGGATCGCCACATGAACGTCTCAGAAATTCACAAAAATAATCCCACTTCCACATGTAACAAGATGTAAGATTTAAGATTTCAGAAGTTCTTTTAATTGGTTGGCGCATATACTACTCCCAAAATTCCCAGGTGCTTATTCCATCTCTCCCTCATCTCTCTTCTCATCCTCATTCTTGCTTGGGTGGAATTTTTTTCTGTTTCATTCGGTGGGACTTTGGGACTGGGACTCAAAGGAAGCAAAAGGAGTAGGTCAAGCAAATTATCGAGCATACGCTATACGCAACGCAATGCGGAATCAAACCAAACCAAACAGATTGGTTTGGTTCGGTTATGCAACCAGTTTGAGGTCTAAATCAAACCAATACGAACCGTGACACTAGATTGGGTCCATGTATGGTTTACTGGCTCCCAACCCTAGCGTTACTGATAATACAAATTAGTTTGTATATCAATATTATGAGTATGACTGAGTAATGATTCAAGGGAAATTTTGCAAAAGATGACGTGTGGGAAGGGTCACAGATTTTCTCTGAACTACCCAAAGGAAGCAACTCCAGCTTTTTCTTTTACAAGGCACTCAATATCAAAACTTATTATTCTATTGACGTATACAAATCAGGATAAAGTATAAATGAATATAGCATAATATATAACCAATACTGCTTAGAGTAGTAAAGACCAAATAATGATTGAGATGAGAATATAAACCTTTTAGAATAGCAAAGCAGTGTCACAGTGGTCCTTGTCATGTCTTTCTCTGTCTCTGCAATTCTCAGAAAAATGTTAAAAGGAAATGGAAGAAAGAAGAACAGAGAGGAAACGCACCCTTTATTCTCTTGCCACATGAGAGAGAGAGAGAGAGATTTTAAGAGTGGCATTGACCTCTCACCGTCTTTGTCCGTAGTTTTGCAGATGCGTGGTCACAGCTCCCCTTTTGTAAAGAAAACAAGGCCATGGTGGACCGAAGGGGAAGGGAATATGAGATTATGTTTTTTTTTACCTTCCAATCATTGGGTGGATTTATATTCTCTCTTTTTATCACTATCTTCTATGTTGATAAGAATCCATCCACAGACATGATAAACCCTACATGTCACGTAGGGCTTAAGCTTCTAACCAAACACGGCCTTCCGAAAATCAAATCTCCAAAATCACAGGAAACGTTGCTTAATAATCACATTACTACAATAGTTCAAGAAACAAGAGGCAACAGTGACAAGATGACGAACGCGTTGTAAATTATTATACAGACTGCTTCAACAATGTGATAATAAATTTATAAGTAGAGTTGCTTAATAATCACATTGCTACAAATATTTCAAGAAACAAGAGGCAACAGTGACGATATGACAAACACGTTGTAAATTATTATACAGACTGCTTCAACAATGAAGCTGCAGTCCTTAATTTCAATGATTCAGAGAGATTAAATCCTACTTTAAGCACCAACAGAGCAAACAATAATTTATTAAATAGTAACATAAAAATACATAGCAGACTACCAATTCACTGAATAATAACGAATGAAAAATACACCTATCCGCTTATACCCAAAAAAAAAACACCTATTTGGATGGAGGCAACTACAACAACTAAGATTCGAGGCCTTCCCATTAAAATATCTCTTCACTCATCAAGAATATGCTCATGGTTGTTATACTCCAAAAGAAAAATTGTGGCGGATGATCCATCATCCAAAGTAAACTTTAAAGTTTCTGTCTTACTGGTCTTTTCACATGAATTCTACCCTGCAGGATCGGTTCTGCTCATCTCCGCAAGAATCCCATTGCCTGGTAGACGTTATTGAGTGTAGCATCAGCTATACCTGCAGCTTTCGTAGCACCTTCTGCCAAAATTCCATCCAAATAAGCTGAGTCAGAAATGATTTCCTCGTAGCGAACCTGCAAAAGCAGAAAATGCAATGATGACAGGGAATACCACAACGAATGATGGAACAATATGGTACACTTTCTGGCAAGTGAAAAAAGGCCATCTCCATAAATTGAAGAGTGGAGCGAATCAATGAATTGATGGCACATAAAATATCAATATATCTTTGGCAGAACAATACAAAGGTGCGCACATAAAGCAGATAAAAAAATATACACATCATAGGTATATAATCACAAATTTGAAGCATAACAACTGCCAGAAATCACTTAGAAAGCTATATTCTCCACCAATTCATTCAAATAAATGTGCAGTTGTACATAGCAAACACAGTCAGTTTAACAGCTTAAAAACAATCATCTCAGAAAAACTGTGATGAAGACATGGGAAAACAGAAACCTATATACCTGAACGGATGATTCACATATAAACAAAGGTTCAACAGATATGATAGCAGTTCCAACCTAAAATCTTAGGAAAAGTCTGACAGCTAGTGCTGTTCATGAATTTTTACCACAATGAATAAAGTGCGGCTAAATTCTCAATCACAACTCCGAAACATAGAAACTACATAAAAAAAGTAAGCATGCATTATCTCTTCAGTATCGAAGGATAAAATATGCACTTAAGTCTTGATCGATTGGCATAACCAACCGGCGCATATATTAACTGTCCTGTAAACATCACCTATTGAAAAAGCATCATATTTAGATGTTGAAACCTGGATAGGTTGCAGATGATCAATCACCGCATCAGCTAGGAGTGACTTAAATGTGCCCCAGTTCATATCTCGGCATTCTTCTGCAACTTCCTGCAATAATAAGGGTGCACCGGAGATGGTCAGTCATCTTCATACGGTATGCAAAATCCTTCACCAGTAAAAGTTCAAGTCCATGCATCTATATATAATGAAAAGCACTAAACGGATGGGCTATAAAGAAGTTAAAGAAGTAAACAAAAAAAAAACCATTACCTCTTTTGTCTTTCCCGAAATCAGCTGATATATTGAGAGAAGATTGTTGCACTCAGGCCTTTCAGGATTATCAAATTCCATGCTGTAAGAAATAGGATTATCAAACAACAACACAGAAGAGTTTTAGTATTATGACCAGAAATAGGATTATGACTCCAACACTAAATATGGACAGAAGAAAATTAACAAAGCAGAACATCAAAAGAGAGGAAGCTTTAAGTGATTACAAATGGAAGATAGGTATTCACCCTGGAAATGAGTCAGTTTTGCACCTCTTTATTTTGTTTGCTATTACCTATAGAACAATTAAGCCATTTAGATCAAGTTGATGAGCAAAATGAAACTGGCAAAAGGAAAATGAAAAAACAAAATAGGTAGGTCACATAGATTCTCCATAAGAAATGTATAGACTTGAGGCAAGCTAGACGAGTTTGCGATAGTCAACTCAACACCCATAATATGCTTAACTTTGGTTATGTGAAAAGTAATAACAACTAAAAATAAAATAGGTCAAGCATACTTGCCGCATATCATATCAAAATCAAGAAGTGGGTAAAATTTCTGTTTCTCACATCTTTAGGGTCAAGAAGATTGATCCGGGACTGATCAGAAGGCGCAGACTTGGACATCTATAATATTGAAACCAAAATAATGTCAATAAGCATGAGAAAAGTCTGTTCTTTGTGTTATTGATGACATTACTTCCTTAAAAACATTAAATACATTTGGTGCACGCCTACAAATAGGTGGGAACTAGCCATAAAATTCAAATTTATGGAATAACTGGAATTTTGATCATTGTTACGTATACCCTAGATTGTGTAAATAAGTTTTCCAAGGATCTTATTTCATTCTCACTACTTTGAGATGCTATGATGATAATTGTAACAATATTAGACAACAAAATTTGTAAGAGGAAGAAAGTATTCATATGCTCAAGTGCTTGGAGTGCTATAGAAACTTGATTGAGTACATAATTATTTTGGTCATCTGATACGGACAGACTCTAGGAGACATTTCAAAA